AAAATATAATCATACGGTCATGCATATCTAGGGTACTGACCTACCCTTCGGTCCTAACGACCGAATCAAGGAAAAGCTTCCCTGCTACTACCACTAACTCATATAGCATATCACATAAGCATATCTCATAAGCATACCAAGATAATTATCACAAAGACACTTATCTATCAATTACTCTTGTTGGTGGGCCGGCATTGTGGCCTTAGACCCACCCCTACTGGAAGGTAACTCACATCGATGTCGTGTAGCGTCTGATTATCCTCGGCGTTCAAATCGACTCTTCTCGACTCCTCAATCCCTCTAGTAAGATAAAAATATGCTCAAAACTCTAAATCTTCTTGTTTCCCCTTGATCTCACAATCCTCCTTCTTTTCTGCAAGCTTCAATCACACAAAGTAACACCACAAGGCTCAAGAACACACTAAAAACAACTAGGGTTTTGAGTTAGGGTTTGTTCTATACGATGGGGGCTGAATTGAGGGGTTATAATGTGTTTAAATATGGTGCAAACCCTCAATTTAGGGTTTCATTCAAACAACATCTACTCGTCGAGTCAGTCTCCCGAATCGTCGAGTAGACTACTTAAAGTTCTCGTGGATCACGACTCTACTGGACGAGTTGGGCCTCCAACTCGTCGAGTCCAAAGAAAAACATAAGAAATACTTGAATTAAAGGCATACCAAGAATCGGGTGTTACATGCCTTATGCATGCAAATTATACATAGAACATGATCGAATAGACTATCAAATAATACACTCTACCCTCGAACCACAACCCGACAAGGAACGGGGAAATAAGGCCAAATCAATTAATCTAGGGCTATAAGATTTGAGTTTTTAGTTTTCCAGATTTGAGCTTTCCATTATCTTATGGGTGGTATAATCCTAATCCATATCTTCTATACTTATAGTAGTCATCTTGGTGATTGTACATTGTTATTGTTAATAAAATACTTAATAATCATATCAAAGAGAAAATATGGATCAGGGGCTTTAAAAAGGAAAACGCAAATGCAACAAGAAGCTTTTATAGAATCATAAAAATGATCATTTTTAAAATTTTTAACTACAAAAAATGTTGATAATAAACAAGAACAAACTAATGTTGGTAATAATGATTATGACCAAACAAATATTGAGAATGATAATGGTCAACCTAACATTGAAATTGATAACGAACAAACTAATAGTGAAAATGATATTGAACAAACTAATATTGATATTGCCAATGAACAAACTAATAGTGAAAATGATAACGAACAAACTAATATTGAAAATGATAAATAGCAAACTAATATTGATATTGATAACAAACAAATTAATAGTGAAAATGATAATGAACAAACTAATATTGAAAATGATAACGAACAAAGTAATATTAAAAATGATAACATGCTTTTAAACATATATGATCGAAGTAGATGGAATAATATTAGTACTAATTTAAGAAATTTAATCGTAGAAAAAGGTCCTATTAAGATTTATGCTTTTAAATTTCCAAAAAATCAAAATTTAAGAAGCTTTAGTACATCTCTTTATATGCAAAAAATACCAAATGGAGAAATATACGAATGAATATGGTTGGTTTATTCCATAGATGTATATATATAGTTTTTTGTTTTTGTTGTAAATTATTTAATGTGAATACATCTACATGTTCATTAGAACATAAAGGTAACAATGATTGGAACAATATTTATAGTATACTAAAAAGACATGAAGCAAGTAACATACATATTCTTAATATGAGGTCATGGATTGACTTACAAACTAGAATAACAAATAATAAAACAATTGACAAGCGAATCCAAGAACAAATAAATAAAGAAAAAGAACATTGGAAAAATGTGTTAATAAAAATCATTGCTGTAGTAAAAACTTTAAGAGAAAACAATTTAGCATTTTGTGGAACAAATGAAAAGATTTATAAAGAAAATAATGGTAATTTTTTAACTATAATTGAAATGATTGTAGAATTTGATCTTATGCAAAAACATATTAGGCGAAGTAATGACAAAGAAATTCATAATCATTATCTTGGACACAATATGCAAAATGAACTTATAAGTTTGTAAGGAGAAGAACTTAAAAGTAAAAATAATTAAAAAAAATAAAAGAAGCTAAATACTTTTCAAAATAAACTTATTAGTTTATTAGCTTTGTGATGAAGTTTTTGAATAGTCAAAATTCATGTTTCACAACTGACGATTTTCATACGAAGTGATTCATCGGTTTATACTTGAATTTCTGTTTTGATGGCTGGTCGAAGTATTGGATTCAAATCGATTTGAACTTGTTTAGATTGCTTCATGTTTGGAATGTTTTGTGATTCTGTAATCCTATTGGTGTGTATTGTTATACTTGATCATTTCAGATGCTTCATAGTTTTTCATGATTACAAAGATCAACGAATGATTGGTATTACTTTTTTCTCTAATAATAACTCCAAGAGGTTGGCTTTAAGATTCACCACTTGGGTTGAATTAGACTCTGAATCAACTTTGATTCGGGAGAAAGTGAAATTTTGTTCATCTTTCGTTAACAAAAGATACTAGTCAATTACTTTCTCATATTACCATGCTTAATGGGAAGAATATAACAAGTTACACATTTGGTCCATGGGGTTTCAAAGAAGTAACAATTTTAGGTTAGTTCAAAAAACGTTTACAGTTTGGGGTTGACCTTCGGGATAGTCAAATTTTGATTTTTTTGCAAGAATATATCTTGTGAACACTACATTTTGGATTTCAACACAAGTAAAAGGAAATTGTAATATTTTTTTAACTTTTTCATATTTAAAGATTCACATTTACTCCGTTTATTAGTGGGGAGGGATGTTGGGATGTAAAGTTCTGGAGGATAACAAGAGAAGACTTGGAAGACTCACTTAAACATGTGGGATTTTAGCTTATGAGAGAGAGAGAGAGAGAGAGAGAGAGAGAGAGAGAGAGAGAGAGAGAGAGAGAGAGACTTGTACTTGTACATCTATGAATAGTGATTGTAATATTCATTATGGAGTGTGCATAGAAGATGTAATCTTAGAAAGTTATGAGTTGAGTTAATTATTTAGATTAAACCTAGTTCATTTTTTAACACCTCACTATGATAGATAATGTCTTTTAACACACAAATCATTGTGTTGATTGTGCTCTTATTATTATGCATATGAAATCAAGCTTTCATGTCCTAACAATGTGAATGAAAACATTTTTTTTCCTTTTTAATTTATAGTTTCCCACAAAAAACAGGTTTATATGAATCATGATAAATAATAATTACCAAGGAAAACTACAATTTTAATATATCTTGTGTTGATGCCATGGAAGCCTTTAATGTGGTCTTATTTAGTCGCAAGTAAGCTTCGTGCAAGATGTGCAACTTCCTCCTCCTGGCTGCAAAATACATAATTTTTGTGGTTAACTTTAATAAATCTTTTAAAGATTAATGTCATAAAATGACAACTAATTAGGTATGCTTTTGGGTAATTTATCTTTTAATTGTAACCATTTTTTGGGTTCTTATTACACAATTAGAGTGAATTTCAGCTAGTTAATTATGACATATTGGATAATAAAATAGATCAATGCCAACACAATGTCATCATCTGGTATAAGATATTGCAAATTGGATACTAGTGACACCAAGTAGGAGTCAATATAATTTACCCAGTTGAAATCCACCCAATGATGCAATGGGAATCCAAAAATTTGTCATTTTATGTAGAGTTCAGTTAAAAGGTTAGCGGCTTAAAAAGCAAATTGTGTATTACTAGTTGTCATTTTATGAAAATAAACCCACTTTTAATAACAAAACTTTAAACATGATAATAATCGAATATTCAACTTACAACACATGCATGTACATCATTGCAACCACATAAAAGCTCTCCATTTAGCAAATCAGTGGTTTGAAATGTTCCTCCGCCTTCACTCCTCTATAAAATCAAAGAAAATTCCATCAAACCATGTATAAATAAAACATATTAATTATAAATGAGTTTTGAAGATATATATATATATATATATATATATATATATATATATATATATATATATATATATATATATATATATATATATATATATATATATATATATATATATTGAAATTTGAATTTATAAGAAAAATGATAAAAATATTGAATTATAAGTGATTTTTTCCCTTTAAAATTTAAACAAATAATTTAGATAAATAAACAAACGAAAAAAGAATAAGGTTTTAATTTAAGAATTTGAAAATTAAAAAGTAAGTCTATTAATGAAATTGATATTCATTTATTATTACATTTATTGTATTTATTACATTTAATATTATGTAAAATTTAATAAAATAGAAAAAAAATCATAAAATGACAAGTAGAAAAAAAAAAATTTAATAATTTGAAAATGACATATGACAAAATGAATGAAAGTGTGACATGTAACAAAAAAAAATGTTTATTTATTAGAATACTAGTTGTGATACCCGTATACTATACGTATTGATTACAACAAAATGTTAAATTTGAAAAAAGTAAAAATTATAAAAAAAAAAAAAAAAACATGAAAAATTTAATTAAAATTATGTATTTAGTTGTCGGATTCGTGTATTAAATGTGCTAATTATAACAAAATGTTAAATATGAATATTTCAATTGTAAATTTATTTAAAACTGCAATTGAAGTTTAAAATTTAAAATTTAAAATTTGAAATTAATATAATTATTATGGTATGTTTAATTTATAGAAACCATATTAATGATATATATCAAAAATGAAGTAAATGACAAATAAAAAATAAATATACCAAAATTATAACAAAATAACATGTGATATAATGCATGAGAGTATGACAAATAGCAAAAAAACATTTATTTATTAGAAATGATATATATATATATATATATATATATATATAATTTAAAATGCTTATTAATTTTTTTTATAGTATGTTATTTTAAATAAGTTCTATTTGGTAAGTTTTGTATTTAAAAATTGTTATTATATGTGGAAATCAAATTTCTTCTAGTTTTAACCCTAAAAACCATATGGATAATAACATTATTTCCCTTTTTTTCTTAAACAACGAAACATATATCAATTTACCACTTTACCCATGTATATTTTCGGCCATTTTATATGTATTAATATATTTTTCCCAACACTAAAAATCAACTTATCAGTTTCTAGAGTGTCGTGATACTTCATAAGCTAATCCAAGTTTTTTCGATAAACTCGGTTTTGATACCACCGAAATGAATAAACACTCTCAAAAAATAAAGTTGTTTTCAATAAACGATCCAAACAAACCCTTTAAAAAATAATGCCACAGTGGAAAGATATAACCAAAAATAATATATGAAGACAACAATTTTATAAAATGTTAGGACTTAAAAACCTCTTAAGATGTTCTTAAGTGTATTTATTAATTTGTTTTTTCTAAATCAAGTAAAAAACATTTTTATTATTTTTTATATCCACTAAATCCATTAATTTAGAAAAAACCAAAGGGTCTTTTGCCTTATGGTTTCAAGAGTTAACAGATAAATGATCTTCAACCAAAGGTTAATGGTTCAAGTCTGTTGTGGATAAAAGATATAGATTTATGAAGTGAATAGTAAATGCATGTATAGACCATTCTAAAAAATATCCATTAACTAAAAAAGAAATATTAGCTAAAAATTTTTTGGTACCTTGTAAAAATCAACAGCGAGAAAGTTGGCCCAACGATTTCCCGAATCAGTGTAGCAAGTCTTGGTGATGTTTGAGAGACCGCCATTGTTTTGACCGCATGCCAACATCTTTATAGGAAGCGTACGGAAGTAGTTCACTAAAACAAGTGATTTTGTTTTATCGTTCATGGGTGATGATTCACCCCTATTTGGACACTCACCTGCTTTCATTCCACCATCTCCATCTATAATCAACACAATAGATTTGTATAAATTATAAACAAATTAAAAGGACAATGTAGCATGTTACTATTTATTAGGATGATATTGTTGTTTAAGTATTAGAGATTTAGTGATATCGTTGTATGATATTCATTATAATAACCAATATTAAAGACCTCGTATCACAATATGCTATGCATATGTGTAAGTCCATCATTTTAGCAGAGGTATATGAGAATTCAACAAATAAAGAATATCTTTGGCTGTATAAGGGTAATTTAGGCATTTTTTTTAAATGGGATGACTATGGAGAAACTACACTCTCAAAAATCTAATAAATATTAGAGATACTTTTTGTTCATCACAAACACTAAATCATTGAAAGATATTAATGAGTTTTATTACAATGTTTCTTCTATTTAATTCTTGAAAGTCACGAGTTCAAAGCACAAGATGATTTTAAGAATTTTTTAATCGTTTTGCATTATATGTATATATATATATATATATATATATATATATATATATATATATATATATATATATATATATATAGAGAGAGAGAGAGAGAGAGAGAGAGAGAGAGAGAGAAATGAATATATACTTAAGAGCATATAAGCTTAAATACTCATACTAACCATACTATGTCATTTTCTATCATATATATATATATATATATATATATATATATATATATATATATATATATATATATATATATATATATATAATAATCATCCAATGTTCTTATAATTCAACTTCTAAGTTGATTTACTTCCGAGATTTTTATAAATTTCACAATTATTTTTCTCTTACATAATTTTCATTTTCAACTATAACATTTATAGAATAGTAGGTGTTCAACAAAAAAATGTGATGTAAAAGAAAGATAATAGTGAAATTTCGAAAATCTTGAAATTAAATCAAGGTAAGGTTGAAGTTTAAAAACATTATAATGAATGTATCAAATAAAACGACTTATTATGGTGAGTTTGGATACTTAAACTTATATACATTTAAGGGTATATATATATATATATATATATATATATATATATATATATATATATATATATATATATATATATATATATATATATATATATTCTATGTGATATCTGAATGTAAATGATGTGCAGATTGCATGAACTTTATTTTGTCATATGGGATGTTAGGGTTCGAATTCGATTCACCCTCCATTTTTCTGACAATAAGAAAACCATATTTGACCTAACTTCTCAGTCTACATATTCTAACCCATAACTGCCCATCCAACTTCATCTTTTTACATCTTTTTGCCAAATTTATTTTGACTTTACAGTTTTAGCCCCATTTAGTTAATTTTATGAATTTTGTTTATTTTTTTTTTTTCAATTTTTATTCGTATACAACAAAACAAGCTAAACACCTCTGATAAATGTCAAACCACCTACGGTGAAACTTTTGGAATAAGACTTCTTACTAACTGCTCCAAAGGATGTGCACTCAACCTCACAGTGGCTGCTTTCTTGCAATTGTGGCGTACACGCACTCGCACACAATTGTGGAAAGAATAATGTATGGGGATATGAGCCAATTTATAGGATTACGTGGGAAACCTTAATTCCGATGTGCCAGGCCCATCGATAATTAGCCCATAAAGGGGATGCCCTTAATTTTAACCAATCACAGAATGCCATGTGGGCGCTCTTCAACCTTATGAGCATCGTCCGCAAGCATCTTCTATGAGCATCATCCATGAGCATCACCCGTGAGCATCATCACATGAACATCTTCCCTAAGCATCATCTGTGAGCATCTTCCATGAGTATCATCGCATGAGCATCTTCCATGAATATCATCGCATGAGCATCTTCCATGAGCATCTTTCATGAGTGACTCATCAAAGGATATCATGGCTCAACAAAGGAACACATGTGGAGTACCTCTATCATGAAGCATCATTAATTTTTCTTACCAACTGTAAGAGCACTTTATGGTCGTGCCCTCTAGATGTCTCCTTTCAGGTTATCATCAAGGAGATCAATTCTATTCACATCTAGCTACTCTAGATGGATATTATCAAAGACAAATTATATCTAAAAATGGAAATGATTGTAGTCATCTTCAAATTTGGAGAGTCTTCCTCCACTAATCTTCCTTTGCCATTTATCCCGCTATATATCTCATCCTTAACCTGAAACATCCGACTATTCTGCAATCCACTCAACTAGTCATCCATAGCCTTCTTCCACTGTATTGAGTTCATCCTCAAGGCCTATGGTTTTTACCTATTCTCAAACATGAATAAGTCATTGGTTGATGGAAAATACATCACTAGAGTACTTTGCCTAATGGTACTCTAGATAATAGGATGTTTAATCTTTGAAACACCTACAACTCCACCCTCATAACTATTATCACCAGAACTCCCACTCTTTCCATATTTATTAGAGCTCACACTTCTCCTTGAACATATGCCTATTCTGTAATTATGTTAATGTACTAGAGCAACTATCAGACAATGATCATAATAGTAGCAATGTCATGAATTCATCTTCAAATTTAATCTTAACCTCTATCAGCCTAGATAAGATTGAATTAAATTCATTAATATGATCATTCACTAAGCCACCCTTCATCATCAGATTACCAATTGTCGAATCAAGTGAACCTTATTTGCTGTCGATGGTTTTTCAAACATGATAGATAGCATCTTGATCAACTCATGAGTAGTCTTCACATTGATAATGTTGTAAGCTATACATTCTTTGTCGATGATAATCTCAACATACCAAGTGCCTTCCGATATAACAAATCCTAACATTACATAACTATTAGTTTATATAATTAATACTTAATCATATATTAAACATGACAAAGAAAACAAACACGAAAAACACGACAAACATATGTTCAATCGTGTCAATTTCATGTCCATTTGTGAACACGAACACGACACGACATTGTGTTTTTAAACTACACACGACACGAACACGAATTCTAATTTTGATTTCATCTCGATTGTGTTTCCCGTCGTGTATTTTTGTCGTGTCATGTCATAAAATTGATACCCCCTAGATTTTGTTAAGCTTCCAAGAACAATTACAATCACACACAAGGTTACACCCCACTTAAGCTCTCAAAACAAAATAAACTCTCTTGCTTTCTAACTGCCCCAATGGATGTGCACTCAACCTCACAATGATTGCTTTCTTGAGATTACAGTGTATACATACTCGCATACACTCGTGTAAAGAATAATGAATAAGGATATGAGTATATTTATAGGAAAGCGTGAGAAACCTTAATTCTTATGTGCCAAACCCTTCAATAATTAGGCTATAAAGGGGGTGCCCTAATTTTCAACCAATCACAGAATGTCATGTGGACGCTTCTGGAATCTTCAACCTCATAAGCATCTTCCATGAGCATCATCCATGAGCATATTCAATGAGCATCATACGTGATTATCTTCTATGAGCATCACCTGTGAGCCTCATCACATTAGCATCACCTGTGAGCATCATCACATGAGCATCTTTCATAGGCATCATCTATGAGCATCTTCCATAAGCATCATCACATAAGCATCTTCCACGAGTGTCTCATTAAAGGATATAATGACTCAATAAAGGAAGACATGTGGTGCACCTCCATCATGAAGCATCACAAGATGCTCTGTTCCCTTCCTAGGTGCTCCATACCGCCTTTAGAAGATCTTTTCCTTTGTCATTTAATAAATTCCATTGTCTGACAATCTATTACCTTTTCAGATGATCAATTCCTTTGTCACATGTTCCATGAACTTGAAGTGCTCTATGTTGATTTTTTGTGCTCCACTGTAACTCCAAGTGCTCCATGTTTTTCCGAATGCTCCACCTACTTCGAAGTTCTCACTTGTGATTTTCAATGCTCACTTGCAACTCCAAATGCTCCATGTGTTGGAGAAGACTTCATACCCCAACAATTTTATCTCAATATCAAATTATTTTTACGAATTTATTCCAATGTTTTGTAATTTACATATTTTCCCTAACTATTTTTTTAGAACTTTGTGTTTTATATTTTTTAAAAACTTACTTCTTTATTAAACTTTGTTTTTTCTTTTTTTAGATTTTTTACGTCTTATGTTACAACATATTTTAATAACTTCACCAAATCTATTTTTATAAAATTTTCCCAACTTCTTTTACAACTTTGTTTTTTTATGATTAGAAATTTAATATTTTTTTTTTTAGAAAAACTTGTACAACATTTACATCTTTTTTACAACTTTGTTTCTTATGAATTAACTTTTACAAAATTAGTTTTTTTAATAACTAATTATTTACAACTTTTATACATCTTCGTTTTTATGCAAATTTTTTAAAGATCTTTTTGTTTTTACATCTTTTTATGCATGTTTTCTTTAAGATTAATCCGTTTTTACAAATTCTATTCTAAATTATATTTTGACAATTATACATATATAAATCTGCTACAACAAAACGTGAGGGTGTGCTACTCCTAGTTAATAACAACTTACATTGATTTTCGACCATGTAGTTCCATTGGTACGCGATTCCTTCACTTTGTTCCTTGGATCTAACAGAGCCGAAAACAAGTAATCTTTGGTTTTTAGCCACCATGTCACTAACCAAAGGCCAATCTTGGCCACCTGTTGGCATACTCGTTACCGGAAACCAATACTTTTTCAACCCCGAGTCTGTAAAAACTTTGGTCAAACCATTAGGTGCTTGTACATAGTCTTCTAGAATGATTGTCACTATTTCCTTTGGATTCGATGATAGAAAAGCTTCGATTTCTTTCAAAGTATCTATGGCGGGTGTCTGACATGTAAACACATTGCATCATGCACAATTTTTAAATAAACTTGTAGAAATTGTGTAAAATATATGAACACAAATGGAGCGTAATGCTTACAAATTTTGTGGCGTCATAACATTTTCCACCAAAAGAATGGCATAACCATACTGTATCTTCAAAGTCATATGTATCAAGCATCAAAGCACGCACCCCATTCTATAGAATATGATAAAATTGGGTTAAATGTAAGAAATAACAATGTAGTTTCAATTATTTGTTTATTATAACATTCTACGTTTACTTTATCTTTTTTAGAACAACTTACACACACAAACACTACACTACTCCAAAATCTACACATTTCGTCTACAACGGGACTTACCTATCCGTCAACTCCTGATGCCACTTTGCATTTTTAAATGTCTACCTATATATAACAGTGACCTCGAAATGGGAATGAATTTTACTATGATGATTTAAGTATATTAACTGAAGTATACTACCCTATAAGAAACAAATGCAATGCTATAATTAGGTAGATTCTATAAAATACAATGATTTAATAAAAAAACATAAAATTTTTTGTAAAACAAGTATAACATTGTCATCCAGATAAAAAATAAAGCGTTACTATAGTTGCCGTGATACGTAAAAAAAAAGGATGAGCAAGGTTATAATAGTTTTTTTTCAAAGTAGAATATTGGAAAATACAGTTTTATAATTAAAATAAATGAAAGTAAGATTCTATAATCAACAAATTATTCGCTGATAAACAAGAAAATAAGATCACAAACAAAAAAAATATATTTTTTTGTTATTTTGTAGCTATTTGCGCCCATAAAATTTATAAAGAAAACGAGATAAATGAGTCTAATCCTTACATTTAGTTGTTGAGCGACCGTATCTTCTTGATTTGTAGGCGTCAGTCGTATAGTTCCATTGTCGATTGCGAAGGCATTGTGTGTTGTCAAGAAGGAATATTTGTTGAATGGAAGCGAATTATTCTGTTTTTTCAATCATTCAAACAAAATAATACCATAAAAAGTAAAAACTTGGTTAAATTAAATTTAAATATATTGTGCATACAGAATTAAAGATTAAAAAAGGAAAGCCCAACCCATAAACTTTATTTTATGAGCCCATTGCAGATGTTTGTTTTTGCTTTTTTTGGTATAAAGCCAACTCAGTTGTTCAACAAGTTTGATGAGTCAGAGTGACCTAACCCATTTCTTGACTTTTATTTCAATTTTCGGAGATGACATGATTGTACTTGCAACAATATGTGGTGTCTAGATTCCCATTTAAGGATACGTAACTAAACAAAACATATGCACATTCTATTGTTTAACTATTAATAGAAACAAAGTACAAAAAAAAAGTGTAATTGAGTTCAGATAGATACAACCTCGAGGTCGAATTAAAAGCTTCTAAATGCGATATCAAAAATTTGATCGATTTAGATTCAATCTCTTATCTGACTTCAATACAAAAAAAAAAAACCTAGAATAATTTTTCTTTTTCATAATTGAAAAAAAAAAAAAAAAATCAATCATTTACATAATTGTATCAAATTAATATCTTTGATAATTGATTGATAGGGTTCTATAAGACTATAAGTTGTCCTTGTAGTCATGGCTACACGTGACCATCTGTCTGTTTCATTCTAACAAATATCCATGGATACATTCACAATTTCACACGAAAATCGCCAACAAAAAACTGATCAGATTTCAACTCAACCTTGTGATTTCACACACTAAACACACACACACACACACAGAGAAGTCAAATCGTTTACGACTTTTCACATTCCTTCGGTGTTCTAGGTAAAAAGAATTGGAGATAGAAGGAAAGAGATACTGACCATAAGATTAAAGACAGGTGTAGCAGTTGATCGAACACATTTGGAGCCTGCATATCCTTGAGGACATGAGAAACAATAAAGTCCAGCCTCGCAATCTCCGTCTGTTTCACAATCATCCAGTAACTACATCCAAATTATCGTGTTAAATTTCATTTGTTGGTTGAGAAAACAACAGAAGATTGCCAAAAGTTTGCAGAAAATTTACGGAAATTCCAGAGAGAGAGAGAGAGAGAGAGAGAGAGAGAGATGTACCTTGCATGTTCCGTTGGAGCAAGCAGCAATGGTAGCCATGAATAACAATGGAGCTAAGATCAAAAGGGATGAAATTCTCTGTAACTCCATGGCAATTTACTGCTGAAGCCCAACGATGAATGTGAAGCGAAACGGCTTAACGCAGCATAAGAAGATGAAATTGTGAATTGTAAATTAATTTCCAAATGAAGAGATAAATTTATAGGGAAGATGGAGGGATATTCTGTATGTAGTTGAGAAAAAACCAGTCAAAAATAACATTAATTAATATAGTTTTGATGACATTAATTTTGACTTGTACTGAGGTACATCCATTTAACTTTATCTTATTTATAACAAAAAGAAATAATGTTGTAGACCTATTTAAGTTATTTCTTTTTAACAAATAGTAAAAAGATATACCGAAGGGCATAGGGGGCGTTGAAGGGGGTAAAGTGAGGAGTCGTACACGACCCAATTCTTTTATCATATGTTTTTATTTAAAAATAAAAACTTATAATAATGATACGGACTCATTTTTTCTGATTCATCCTAGGCCTTTGATAATATTTTATTCCCCATGACAGGCCCAAACGGCCTTTGGCTAGTGGTGCCAACGAGTTGGAAATGTGTCAATCATTTAAAAGGTTCAGGGTTCAAATCATGTCGTGGATAATGGAGTAGCCTAGGGGTAAGATTTAGTGGTTGTGTGTTAGCCGTTCAAAAAAACAAACAAACAAAACAAGATAAATGAGTAAAAAACTAGTTAAAAATGTGAAATGGATCAAAAATATTCTTTGATAATAATATATATTAGTTATAATCGTACAACCAGTGAGATGTAAACCGGACAACAAGTTGCGCCGCTAAGTTTTTTTGTATGGTAAAACCAATTTTTTTGAACACTACACCATAGATATATGGGAAACACCACATCCATAGATATATGGGATATAACATTGTGAAGCATGATCCGTTGTACTCTATTGATAATAATATATCTTAGTAATCATCGTACAATGAGTGAGATGACAAACGGCCAACGAGTTGCGCTGCTAAGCCTTTTTGTATGGTAAGTCAATTGTTTTTAAGACTACACCCATAGATATGGGGGATATAACACTGTTATGCATGATTCACTATACTCTATTGATAATAATATATCTTAGTTATCATCGTACAACGAGTGAATGACAAACGGCCAACGAGTTGCGCCGCTAAGCCTTTTTGTGTGGTAAAGCCAATTCTTTTGAATACTACATTCACATATCTAGGGTATATAACATTACTACGCATTACCCATTGTACTATATTAAGAAGCATCATTTCATCGGACGTGAGGCAACCAAACGTATCAAATGCAAATGGTATGAACACATGTTAATTTTCCATGTACGATTTCTCATGTTTGGTGACTTTGTCTATAGCAACTTTTAAAGCAGCATGTCCCGCTGTGAAACCCCTAGCCCTTAAGCCCATGAGAGGGGATACCCATGTAAGGTCCACACATGTGTATTTCCCTCCAACACATCCAAAAATCAAAACGTCAGCCAATCTAAGAGTTGACCTTCACTCTGTCGGGTCAGTCAAGAAATTTACAGGTGCCTCTTTCTTGGCAGAAACCCCAGCACGCTTAAATATGTCAAAAAAATTATTTCTAACCAAATCGTGCCTATATTTGAACCTCAGGAGTTCTTTAGAATGAACAGCATGCTCTCCAAAAGAGTACAAACATGCCTTGCGGCACATCGGACATATCTCGTCAGCTGAGAATATTGGGATCATAAGTTGATATTTGAGGATAATATGATACTCAATATGAGACATATGTTGGCCAAGCCCATCTATATTAAACACTGGAAAAATATTTTTTTCCAAGCTATCATGTCGATATGCACTTCCATATCTTGGACAATTTTACTAAAAAGGACACTCGCTAGTGTATTCTTGGATTTAGGGGCAGTCTCCTTAGTAGTAAAACAGATAAAGCTAATATCCGAAAGCTTGTTATGAAGAGAAGCGAAGACACAAGCATAATCAGAATTCATAATATATATGCCGCTATCCCGTAAGATGTAGTCTTGCAATACCCAAGATTGGCCATTGAGGCAACAAAATCATATGAGGTAGCCTTTAATGCCGAGTATAAACCCAAACCACCAAACTAATGGGTAAGGAAGCAATTCGCACTGTATGTCGCCAAAGAAAGGGCCACCACAAACCATAATATCCTCAATCGCCCCGCCCAACCCATTGTCAAAGAACAATGCCACCTCCATGTGAACGGGTTGGCACATCCTTAGCCCAAAGAAATTTTTAGCAATAGCCATACAAGACTGAAGCAGATGGGGCTCACTCTGGAGGGTCAAACAATTGTGGAAGAAGGCGAATCAAATTCACATCATTTTTGGCTCTCTTTATGGCTAAGTTGTTAATGAAACTAGCATCTCTAATAACAACTCCTCCAAGAAGTTTCACCCCCAATGGTGACCTACCGATGCCATAATAGCCCCACACATAGCTTCCTACCATCACACGAGGGGCAAAAGAGCTCGGTTTTCTTGATATTCAACTGAAGGCCCAATTTTAGGCCAATCACCTTAATGATGTCCAACGCTTTGGCCACATATTCCGAATCTCCAATAAGTGTGTCATCATCAAGGTACCATGCATGGATAAGAAGCTTGCAATTGTCTCTAATATTATGCTAGAGAGGATGCAATACAAGGGAAAAGAGAAGTGGTCCTAACTGGTCTCCTTATTGAACCCTAGTAGTGAACCAAATATGTGTGTCTCCTAGATACATCCTTACTGCACCTCAATCTGACCTAATGAATTAATGCGGATCTGTCGGCAAGGTTAAAGGCATTGGAGAAGTCCATGATAAGCATGGAAAGAGACCCGTCATTGTGACACTCACTCAACACCCTGTTAGTGATATGTAATACGGCCTTATCGCCACCCTACGCCCCGAACCCGAACTGAAAATCATATAGATACTTGGCTATTTCTTTACCAACACCTTTTATAGCCAACTTGGAAACCAAACATCTCCATACAGTGCCTACTACAATAGGTCGTATTTCCTTGTCAGGTTTTAAGAGTAGCTTAAGAGGAGCTGAGGCAACAAATGCTACCAATCTCGAAGGGTTTCTTTCCCATAGCCATAGATTAACCACATATGTAATAGATCATAGGAGATCTTTGGCTATAGTTGAACATTCTCCACAAAGAGCATCCAAATTGTGTTGAGCTCTCAACCCGTCTCTCCCACACGAGGTACCTTTATTGAAGGATTTAATGCCCCCAAGGACATTGTCAACATCCACTACAATGGGAGGTTCTGAAAACATGGTGCTTGGCATGGAATGTGGTGGCTTGTATGGATGCTTATCCTCCAATGCCTTCAGAGTTTTACAAACCTCACTCTCGTTTTATTAAAAATGATAGAATATTATGTTAACAACACAAATTTTGTTATAACATCATAATACTTATTTAATTTTATCCAAAGTCAAACGACACACATATTGATATGTACTATAATTAAGATTATAAACTCATTTTTAGGCCCACTTTTGATATTTTGGCAATGTTTTAAAAACTGGTTGGTCAAATTGGTTGGATCAGGAACCAGAGACGAGAGCGGTTCAATAACAATCAGTTTTATGTCAATTTCTAGATCGGATCAAATTGGACGGTTTCTTCAAAAATCGGGTTGAAGCTGTAAAAAACCGTTTGAACCGGGTTTATTGGACTTATAGTTGGATTTCACTTAGTCCATTTAAAAAACAACGCAATTCCAAAGAAAATTGAACATTTTCAGAGTGTACATGTACAACTCGAAGTCAAAGTACACCTCCGCCAGATGTAGAAATTTTTTTGGTTGAACCGTGAACTGGTCACCAGACCTGTTCAAATAAAAAACTGGTTTTTAAAACAATGTATATTGGAGGCTTTATGAGAAAATCAAATTGATACTTTATTAAAAACGCTTGTTGTAGAATATTGTTATTAAGTAAACTTCCTAAAGCTAAATTCAAAACTAAGTTTAGGTAACAAGCATCTCGATAACATGTCTTTAAAAAATTTCCACATTTTAGTCGACTCAATAAACAATGTATAAATATGTTTAACAACTCTAAAAAAATATTACAAATTTTACATAGGAGTTTCCCATATTTGATAATGTTAGGCTAGGATAATGAGAATGTGACATCCCCATTTTCACGGCCAGAGAAGACTGATTTGTTTATGCTTTATTTTTAAATCAGAGTAATTTTTTAAAGAAAAGTATTGCGGAATTTGTTTCTAGAAAAACATGATAAATATGTTATCAAAGCATTTCCGAAGAAATGTATTTTATTCATTTTAAAACTTTGGGATGTCATCGTCAATACAGATATAACACCCGATTCCTGGTATGTATTTTATTCAAGTATATTTATCATTTTAACCTAGGACTCGGCGAGTTGGTGGCCAAACTCGTCGAGTAGGAGCGATTTGGGCACGGGAGTCAAGTGAGCGACTCGACGAGTCGGCGCTGGGACTCGACGAGTCCGCACTGACTGGAAAAAACCCTAATCTAAAGAGTTTGCACCCTATTTAAACAACTTACCTTCTCCCCAACCAGCCTCCATCGTCCCTCTTACTTCCAGAAGGGCCTACATTGAAACCCTAGCTGTGTTTGAGTATTATTAAGCCATTTTTGTGCACTTGGTGGTTGTGAAGCTTGAGAAGAAGGAAGGATCTTGAGAGATCGGGTTGAGGCTAGTGGATCCAGAAGTTGTGTTCCATCTCCAGTTCATATAAGGTAAAAAGCTCCAGCCCTGGTCTTCCATTTGATAGATCTATTTTAGGGTTTGAAACTTGACATATTTGAGACATTTCTAAGCTATTTCGGGTTCCAGAGCATAGTGAAGGGTAAAGGCTTCAGATATTGGTCCTTGAAGGGTCTTCATGGCATAAAGGTGCCAACTTTATGGTCATGAGAGTCCCATGCACCTTGTAGACCTGATTTTTGGGTCTTTTGAGCTTAAAGACCCATGCATGGACATCAAGTTTTTAGCTTTACATGAAAAATGGACCCTAGGAGGCTAGATCTATGGTTTTTATGTGTTCAGACCCATTTAAATCGACTGTATGGTATGGGTCAAGGATGGAATCGTCGAGTTTTTCTTGGGACTCAACGAGTCGAGGAGTAATGACCACGGAAATTCATTCTGCATTGGACCAGTTGTTAGGAAGGGGAGTCCCGTAGATGTTT